GCATACACGTGACACAACATTGTGGGCTTTATCTCATTGTGGAGATAAGATGGGCTTTAAAAAAGAAGGGCACGCAGTTTTCGCAGGGGGTTTGACATAAAAAGGGGATTTTTGGAGGCGGAAAGCGAGAGACTTCCGAGAGGGATTTTAGAGGCAATCGGCAGAGAGCTTGGAAGGCGAGTTTGAGGCAGAGCTTGCGTGGATTCTATGCAAGTGACGGCAGAAGCAAAGGCAGCCACTGGGGACACTTCAATCGAAAACAAAGGGGACAAGCGCGACAGTTAAGACTACAGATCTGAGTTCCACAAATTGGGTTTTTGCTCTTCTAAACTTATTTTTTCCTTTGTTTGGATATGGAATTGTGGTTCATCAATTTAATCTCAGATTTTATCATGTTTAGTATGAACTAATTTTGCCATCTAAGTCTACGATGTAGTCTAATTAATTTAATATAGAATTTCATGATTTTTATATTTTCAAGGGTTATTATTTCATGTAAAGTATATATTATTGTTCTTAATGCTTTTTTATGATTAGCCACCATTAAAACTGATTTGAAGAGCATAATTGAAACCGAGAGGATATTTTATGCAATAACTTTTAGTAATATATATCATGAATTGAATGAAAGCCAGAGATGAACCAACGTGATTTGTGTAGCATTAGTGATAAGTGGACTTAATTTTCTGCATAAACTAGGAAATTTCATAGAACATAATATATCTTTATCTATTTAAATTTACATAGAGATATAGTGGGTTAATAGGTGAAGATAGGTTTGGTATAACTTGAGAAAGTATATCGAATAAAATAGGAAATCCCGTTGTCACATGAATAATAAATACTTTGGAAGTATATTGATCTAAATTCTATATTAGTTGATGATAGTGAAGTCGGATGCCTTAGACTCTTAATTATTGGTGTTACTCAAAGTTAATTTAGTTTTTCTTTAATTAGTTTAGTGATTTAATTTATTCAAATCATTTAATTTCAATTATTCAAATAAAATTAGAATTCATTAATTTTGGTGCTTAATTAGTCTACAGTCTCTGTGGGACGATACTCTATTTTCATCATTATATTACTTGAACGGACTAATACACTTGCTAGAGTGGAATTAGCTCATCAAATATGTTATGCAGTAATGAAAAAAGAGCTCTTCTACATTTGTAAGTGCAGTTGTAAAGCAATACATAAACACTTAGGTTTTGATAACCTAAAAACTATAAAATAATAATAGATAGTAAATATTTTTGTAGCAAAAAAAAGAAGCAAAAGAACATTCTACTTCATAGAACCAATAGGTTGTTCAGAAACACATAAGCATAATACCGAAATAAGCTTGTTCACAAGAGCACATAAATACAATTTTCATACATAAATAATAGTAAAACACTAAAAGCCAAATCAGTAATTGTATACAATGCCAATAAACAAAAAAGTAATCATGC